AAGGCAGCGGCTTAACCCACTGAGCCACCCAGGCGTCCCGAATCTATGGTTTCTTAATTAGAATGTCAAACACTTTCCCTTGATTTTAAAACAATACTGAACATATTAAATTAACTCTGAATATGTCCAATTCTATTTTTTCAGTATGTTTTTAGGATAGTTTAAATATTTTTTTTCTCAATTCCAGTACAGTTGCTTTTTATACTAGCACTCAGTAGAGGGCCGACATAATGCATGGAAATTTTTTCCCCACGTGAAGTTTTTCACTTTTTGGTTTGGAAATTTTCAAACTGATACAAAAGCAAAGAGATTGATTCAATGAATCCCCATGCCCCATGCATCCAACCAGCTTCAAAAACGATCAGCTCATGGCCCATCTCGACACATCTATCTCCCCTTCTCTTACTAGGTTATTTTAAAGCAAATTTCAGACATGATATCATTTCATCTGTAAATGTTTCAGTATGTATCTTTAAAGACAGGGCTCTCTTTTTCTAAGTTAACATAACCACAATACTTTCATCATACCTAAACAAATAATTTTTTTTTTTTTTTTTTTTTTTTTTTTTTAAGGAGAGAGCGTGCGAGTTGTAGGGAGTAAAGGGGGAGAGAGAGAATCTCAAGCAGACTCCATGCACGGAGCTGAAATCAAGAGTCGGACGCTTAACTGACTGAGCAACTCAGGTGCCCCACCAATAAATCTTATTAAAACATTCAGCCCGTGTAAACATTTCCTGGCTGGCTCTTAAGTGCTTCTTTATAGTTAGTTGGTGAATGCATTTGGTTGGCCTCTTAGGTTGTTTTCAATCTTAAGTTCACAGGATTTTATAGAATCTTATGTTCCAAAGGTTGGAGGGCACATGGGTTCAGCTGGACTAACCACACTGCCCAAGTGGGTATGTTCTATGTTCTCTCTGTCACTGGGCTGAGCAACCAGCTGCCCTTCTCTGTGTAACCAGGCACCTAAGTGAGCACCTCTCATGTGCCATCTATCGGCACACTTCTGTTGGAGGCCCTTCTTTATTCTGGGGGCGGGAGGGAAGGCCCATAATTTGTCAACCTGTAATTGTCACATATTGGTCATACAAATTTTCCCCACCTGGAGTCCCACAAAATAAGCTGAATCTGATTTGATGACCCAAAACGAACAGATACACAAGTACAGTTGAGGGTGTAATTGCGTAATTAATGACACGTAACTACCAAATGGTAGTCCAGAAACCGATGCTGTGAGCCAAATACACACATCGTGCTCGGCGCTGGGGGTTTGAGAAGAATCAAGAGGACCTCTCACCTCTGAGAACCTTGAATAATTCTTGAAATTTCTGAACACTTTACGGTAAAAAAACAAAAACAGAGCCTTGTGATCCTCTTCCTTCTCTTGCGGCACGTAGGAGGAACCCAAGGGAAGGGACAAAGGAAGTGAATCAAGGAGGTAGTACTATCCCACGATATTTCACATCCAACTCCCCATTTTCAAGCTCTCCGCACACTTACTTTCTATCTGGGAATGGAGATCGTTGACTATCACTTGTAGCTGCCCGAGAGTCATGTCCCGCAGGTCGGTGGGCTTTAAACTTCTTTTCATCAGGCATTCGCTTATATGAGGCATGTGTGGCAGCTGAAGATACAGAAGGAAGAAATGGAGGTGTGACCTGAGCAGCCACGGCACTGAGAACAAGACCCACTTTTCTCCTGACAGATCTGCTCTCACCCATTTCCGTTCTGGGCCTGTGCTCCAGAGCATTTCCCAGTGCGAGCTCCCCACCCCAGCCCCACACACCATGTTGTCCAAAACACTTCTGGCGTCAAAATGCGACACTAATCAAAAGCTATCAGACTGGTCTTGAACACAGGCCATGACAACTGCGAGTCCGTGATCATGTCTACAAATGAATGACGAGGGAGCTCCGGGAATACCAATGACATGGATAAAATTAATAATATCAGCTCTCTAACCATCTGCACCATGTTATAAGCACTGTGCTGTGTGCTTTAAATGCTTTGTTTACTGAATTCTCACAATCGTGCTCTCACACTGGTGTAACTATTCCCATTTTATAGACGACAAAACTGAGACTTCAGTACCTTGCCCGGAGTCCCACAGCAAGTTAATGGCAGAGGTGACTTTCAAAGCCCAGGGCCCTTATCCATTATGTCATACTGTCTTCACTGAAAGGTGGGAATGACAGCCACGGCGATAGTGAGTTTGCCACAACCAGTAGGTTCTAAACCGGTACTGTTTTAATGACATTAAAATATTCCCCTGACAGCTAATATCACCTCTAAGAAATAGAGCAGATATTTGAATCCAGACTTTCTATGAATGAATAGATATTGAATCTATCCATTGAATATGGATGTGAATCCAGAACAGAGTTTACTTTTGTGTAATCTGTTGCTTATGAATCTTTCAGTAGGAAGGAAAAAGAAACAAACTTAAATATTTCTCAATGACAGTACTTTTTACAAACTGCCTTGTAGAAACCCAAGTTTGCATAACTCTGGGAAAGAACTGGGACCGCGTCAACCATTTTAGCCACCAAACACTTGCTGGCATTTCAGTGTCTCCTGCTTACGAGATCAGCGACGGGAGACTTTTTCCTGTTCTGTTTTTCCACTTCTACTTGCATTTTGGCCATTGGTTTGGCCATGGCGAGGGCCATTTTGGCTTCGGCTTGCAATTTCTTTTGCCTTGTGAGGAAATCCATGTCATCCAGGGATTCGGATTCCTCTTCCGTAGTGTCTCTATCAGAATAGGAAGAACTCTGTTTGCTCTGTGAAGGGAAAAAGAGCAGCCCTGAGCTTTCTGTGTCAGGCGCCATCTCTGGAGATGGGCTACCCCAGTCGCTGGTCCCGCCCAGAGTGGCTGAGAGACTGCCCTCCATCAATGTGACTCGCTACTTGATTTGGTCTATACAAATCTCAGGTAACATTAAAGCAGAGGGTTTATTTCTTCAGTGCCAAGAACAGACTCTGATTTTAGCAGAGTCACATAACAATAGGGAGAATCTGCTTATGACAAACTCGAGATGTCCCTTTGGTTCTAGGTCTCAAAATTTCCTGAAGGGATCAGACACAGCAAAATGTTTAACCCAGAGCTAAGGCAGCATGTTGTTCTCTGGAGTGGACAGGATCTCAGGTATCCAGTGAAATTCTGACGTTGCCCTGCACTCATCGACCAACATGGTTTCCTGCTGGTCGTTCTTTGGTAAGAAAGATGATAAAGCCGTCACAGAGAGTAAAGGATTCCAGCAATAAGCTCCCGGGATCATTAAGCCATCCTTTGCAATATGTACGCAAGGAATGAGCCGGGAATGTTTTACACACATCATCTCACTGGTTTCTCTGAGGAAAGTCCCTGTGTGCTAGTGCTCCCATCCTCACCTGGACCCCGCCCCCACCTTTCAGAATGCGTCCCACTGCTGGTCTGCACTTAATATTTCTCAGCCCCATGGAGAAGGACATAGAGCATAGGTGAGCTCTCTCATGGTTCAGTATGAAAGTAGCTGCTAACTTTAGCAGAGTTTATGTGTCCTTGTATCACAGCTTTGATTCTTCACTGTCAAATTTTAGGAGCATGCTGTGTCAAGAAATGGCACGAGACATTACTTTTTTCATCTCTGCCATGTTTTGTTTTTTCCTGACAAATGAGAAAAAAGAAGCTAAATGACCAGGAAGGCACACACACAGAGCTTTGGTGGCTTTGGACTCACCATGGGAGACAAGGGAGTGTCCAGGCTGGTTTCCGTCTTACTGTCATCAGCATCGCTGTCCTTATCACTGCCGCTGTCGTTGACGAAACATATCTGCAGGTTCATCCCACTCTGTAGCCTGCGTGGAAGCAAGCAGGACAGCCGTTCTGCTCAGTTGTTTGTTATCTGGGAGCGCGCATTACAACTGTCTGGCTTTGTTAATGGAAAGCAATCTTAGGTGTTGTTCGCAAGGAGAAGTGGGTGACCAATGTCAGTCCCAACTTACCCATGATAACTAAAGGACAACGGTGATAACTTAATGAGTTCATAAGTTGATAAAAGATAAAATGTTAGCTTTTGCTAATATCACTTTTTCTCACACCAATTTCATGTTAAAGGGAAAGATAATTTCAGGCCACATAGAATAGCCCTTGGCACAACACCAAACACATGGTTCGTACATAATAAACATGTGTGGAGTCACTGAGTTTACATTCCTGTTGATAAAGATGAATGGGGTCCTCAGCATGCGGTCATCTCGTGTCCTGTCCCATGGGGACGATTCAAAGAAGCTCACTAGAGCAGAGCTCTCTGAAGAAAGACTGCTCCCCACCCCCCGCAAATAGACAGAATGAGGTTGTCTGAGGTAAAGCTATGCTTTGAGCAAGTTGCCAAAAGCCAACCAAGGAAGCTCATTTATGTCATTAAAAAAACACACCATAGGTTCACCCTAGAGAAACCTAAGGAAACCCCGAACCCAGTCAGAGAGGCACAACCTTGGAACCCAGCAGAGCGCCTGGAGCATGAGGTGCTAGAGAGGTGGCCACAGAGGGTCACCCGGCTGTGTCTGCGCCACACAAGGTGGACCACGGATACAACTCTCTGTCCTAACCTTTTTTTGAAATTGAACACATTTCAAAATACTGTTTGGGTCTGAAGACTTTTTAACGAAGTAATTTTTCTTTTAAAGATTTTATTTATTCATTTCATTGACAGAGAGAGACAGCAAGAGAGGGAACACAGGGGGAGTGGGAGAGGGAGAAGTCCGCTTCGCAAGGAGCAGGGAGCCTGATCTGGGGCTCGATCCCAGGATTCTGGGATCATGACCTGAGCCCGAGCCACCCAGGTGTCCCTAAAAAAGTAATTTTTCAAGCCTCCCCAGTAGTCCCAGTCTGTGTGTCAGCATAGGAGACCCCTCAGCAGCAAGGGATCATAAGGAGACTTGTCTAAGCCAGGGTTAGGAAGCCAACACTTTGAATTGCTCTGGCGGTGTTATTACTGTCACAGAGAGAAATGCAAAGAGCAACTCGTCTGATAGTTGACATTAGTATCTTTTTTTATTCCAGTGGGTAGGGATGCTTTGTATAAATTACTCAGATGACTCACAGAAAATGATTTTTTGACAATTACAGGGAACCCAGAAAAAGAAAATCTACCCATTTAAAGCAGACACCCTCACAGTTACGTGTATGTACTGCCACCTATTGGTAACTTCCGGAATTACTAAAAGTCTGGTAGGGAAAGGCAGCCTTCTCCCTCAGCAGGCTGTTTCTGTTCCTCACCTGTCCTCCTCTGCAGACCAGGAGCCAAGCCTGGCTAGGCATGGAAGGGACATGTTCTACTGTGATCAGCTCAGGGGGCTTGGAGTCAGTTGGACGTAAGTTCTGAATCTTCACTTCTTTCTCTGGGCCCATTACTTAACCTCTAAGAACCTCAGTTTCCTCATCAGTAAAATGGGGTGAATAATTCCATGTTTTGTTGGAAGGATGACAATAGTTCAGAGCTAGGCACAGGGTAGGTGCTCTGTACGTATTCACAGTCCTCCTTTTTCTACTTTCTGAAAGCCCAGACAAAGGAATACAGAATTTTAAAAGTGACGTGGCTTTGTAAAGGGACCGCTAAAGTCACTTACTTGAATACCTCGGCTGGCCTTGAGTAGCTCTGACAGAATGTCCTCAAGTTGTCTTAAACTATTAGGCAGCTTGGACTTCTACTGAGCTAGAATTTATCGCCTTTTAATTTTCTTCCATTGGAATTTTTTTTTCCCCTGGAGAAATCTAATATATACAGGTTACCTTTTGATCCCAGATAAATTAAGTTTTAAAATTAATTATCTGTAGTTTGTCAACCACCCTCTCCAATCAACCCATTTTTAATCTAAAACTCAAGATATATGGATTAGGAAATAATGGGAAGTAAAACTGCAAATTAAAAAAAAAACACATTAAAAGCATATTTGAAAAGTAAAAAGTCATTTTAAATTAAACCTAATTTGAATTTAGGAGTATGTAGCATTTTCTATTTACCGAGCTGCTAAAGTCTTGAAAAGATGTGTCCAACACTGGAGGCACAGATTATTAAAAAAAAATATATTAACCTGTGATACCATTACAAAATAAGGTTTAAATCACCCAGGGATATATATTTTCATTCTGAAGAAAGTCTGATCATAAATTCTGTTGTTCTGCCCCTAACTTTGTTTGACCTTTGACCTTTGTGCTAAGGATCAACTCAGACCTCAATCAACCAAACCATACAGCATTTCTAACTCAGGAAAGGCAAAGAAAAAAAAAGGAGGGGGGGTAGATTTAGTAGTCAGAATGAAATGAAAAAACACCTCAGGTAGAAATTCAGAAAATCGCCTTAGTACCACATTATCACCGTGGGAAACTGAGCAGAGCCTCTTACAGGCTGAGACTTATAATTCCTTATAGCAGTAATCACCAAGAATGTTACTCTCAGGAAAAGGAAATTATATGACATAACAGCTAATGGTTCAGAGGGGATTTTAGTAAAGACATCTTAAAATGGACTCAGGTTTCAAGAAGGATTTGTTTGCCTTTAGCCTTTAAGCAGGTTTTAAGATGGAGATGGCTTTGGGTAAACTCAATCACAGATCTCGAGCAGCAGCCCGGCTGAGGGGTGAGTGGGGCCACCTGGTGCTCTCGAAGGCCTCTGTGTCACACGGTCAAGAATGATAAGCCTTCTTCTGCACCCCTTCCCACCTGGGGGAAGCACGGCTGTTCTGAGGCTCCCTCCTGCAGCCCGCAGTCCTGGGCCTCTGTCCCACACGCACACTGTAGGCCACCTGGCCTCACTGAGACCCCAGCTACCAGTCTTGCAAAATCTGAGCCGCCGGGGGTCCAATTTGCCTGGATCTCCCAAGCATCATCAGAGAGGAAAATGAAATGTGATCCTCATCTTTTAATTATTTAATTTATGTAATTTAATGTATATAATTTATAATATATATTTAATTTATATAATTTAAGGCATCCAAGTCAAGGCTGCTTGATGTTTCGAGTGGCATTTACTACAGTGTTGCATGCAAAACGCTGCCTGGCGTCTGCCTTGCCTGTTGGTATTGAAGCTGAAAGGTCTGTGTCCTGGTTTTCCCGGAAACCACTTCTCTTTATAGACCACGAGGCAGTGAAAAACCACACCGCTGCCCAGGGTTACTGACAGGGAGGCCCAGGGTTACTGACAGGGAGCCCCAGGACCTGAGCAGAGGGTGTTCCAGATTGAGAATGCTCAGAAATACGAAGACACAAAGACTAAGTATGTCCTCTGGGCATCTCAGTGTGAGTGCAGGGGCTTCCTTAGTGACAGTGCCTACTGGCTAGCAGCAGGAAGGCATGTAGTGGAGAGGGCGTTCAGTGACAACGTCTGCTTGGCTTTCAAGGCAAGGAACACCTTTACTTGTAAAACACCCGTGCTGACTTCCAACTACCATTACTGGAGATATTATTATTAAAATACGCCCAACACCGAAAGGATGGTGGAGGTGAAGGTTTTTAACTACTAAGAGGACGGTATCTCAAAAACCTAGTCAAGTGATAATATAATCTGGTATAAAGATAATACTTTTTTTTCAAAATATAAGGACCAGGCCAGTTTATTCTCTGAAAGAAACAATGTGATTGATGATCCTAAAGTCTGTGGCGACTTCTAGTAGGGTGGTAGCCACTGTGACTCTGGCCTTTGGCCTTGGTCTTGGTTTGAGGTGATGGACTGGGCTGTTCTGAGGCCAGTTCTGAAACCCAGAACTACTTGGTGTTTTCTGATTTTAGAAACAGCTGTCTCCCAGCACCAGCATAGAACACCGGTGTCTACACAGAAACGTTGAAGAGTCTGTGGCTTTTGCCCACTACACCGTCCCTTAGTTAACTTCATTTGAACTGTTGCACTCAATTCGAGTTTAAAATGACGTTCGCTTGTATTCCCTTGTTGGGCTGTACAACCACCTGCGATAACAGGCAAGGTGACAGTTACTCAGAGAAGTCACAAAAGCTCCCTAGACCTGTAACAGCCTGATTTATAAAAATGGTCCTGATTCTTCCCTCCCTGCACCTGCCCCCTCCGTAATGTGACGGGCAGCTTCTCCCATCAAGAGCTGGAGTCTATTTCCCTACCCCTGGGCTGGCCTCTGACACGTCTTGCCAACGGGATGCTTATGTGCCAAGTCTCCCCCTCAGGAAGCCCTGCCACTGCCCTCAGGACAAGTCCAGTCTTGCCTGCTGGCAGATGAGTGACTTCACAGCACAGAGCTCGACCAGCATTTGTCCCACTGAAGCCCCAAATGCATGAGAGACCTTGGCAGAAAAGGCACGTCACCAAATGGGGGGGGACTGCAGACACGAGTAAGCCCACTGGAACCCAACTCTGATCAGTAGAACTGCTTGGCCGACCTAGAGGCTCCCAAGCAGAAATCAATGTTTATTATTGTATGCCACTGATAAGGGGGGTTTTTGGATTATACATCGTCATTGTGGTAACAACTGGTACGCGGTCACAAAGAAGAGACCACAGGCTGAACCTCTGGTTCTTGAATCCAGGGCCCTTCCCCCCACTACACTTAACCTCAGGTCTGGATTTATTAGATCTTGCCTGTGTGTCTGTTAATATAATCGTGGTGTGCTTATAACTCCTGCATGTGTTTATCATTCTAAGGCAATTGTTTGGTTTTCCTCAAGAAGCGGAGTGAGAAGGAACTACCCATATGCTTATGGATTTCAGATGTGCCTTGCTCATCTTCTGTCCGCAGCTGGAGTGGCTGTGAGAGCCACTGGCCCCGCTCTCTCATTTGTTGCTCAATATCCCCAACTCGTTTGTGACTGGGCCATTAAAACGTTATTCCCA